GTGTGTGTTTTCCCCCCCATGGGGGAAGTTTTCTTAAGACACAGCAGATATTACATTCCTCCACCCACTTTCCCATAAATCCCTCCTCTTCCAAGGCAGGCGGAAAAAAAAATATGCCTGCTTGAAGCTGTAGCACACAGCTATTGAAAAGCCTGCAGAAAAGGCAGAGACAACGCAATGGGACAAGCCCCTTACCATGCAAGGAGTCCAGCAGCTCTTTCACTACGTCCTTATGTCCAAAATAAGCAGCCACCACAGCAGCATTGTCATCATTAGGTTCTGTTGGTAACACCACTAATGCTTCCTTCAGTAAATATCTCACCGCCTGCAGATCTCCATACGCTGCTGCAATGCCCAAAAGCTGACACTGGTAAAGAAAATGCAGCAAATAAACTGTTTGTGACAGCCTTCACACCTCTAACAAGGGGACAGGCAAAGGCAGAGCGTAGGCACACAAACAGGGTATTTCTAGAGCTTTTCATATGTATTTATTTATGTCCATGCAAATGCAATACTGGCACTGTGGTTAGCTGAGAACGTCATGAGCACTAATAGTCTCTGTAACCTCTTCTGTTGATATATTAAGTAATTATATTAATTTATTGTCTCTTTTTAAAAGTTTTTTAATTTTTTTTTCTTCTACAAAAGTGCCCAAGGTCCAACACAGTAAGTTAAAACAATTTCCCGCAGGACAACAGGAATGGCATTTGCACAGCTCTGCTGACAGATGAGGTGATATCTCATCTGATATGATATTTTGGAGATGGCTACTAAGTCTGGACTTAATTCTCAGGGACTCTCTAAACCCGGTAATGGCGATGTTTAGGGAGGAAAGAGGGTAATTCTGGACAATTCAGCAGAAACTGACACCAGCCCACTTGAAAATCTACAGATATTATAACAGACTGTGGGTCATGCACCTCGACCTTTAGACAGATGTGTGCTCCAAACAGTAATACCCACCTGGATAATAATGATTCAGGGCCAGACGTGCAGTTAGTATGAAGTGTTGTTTATATCAGCTGAGAATCTTGCATAGTAATTTTACATTTAGTGCAAGTTCTCCTGATTACTTCACCACAATCAAGATTTCAAAGCTATTGTTTTATTTATACTTCAACCTTGGGCAAATAAATATCTGGTACTGTAACCATCTTTCTAAGTCACAAGTAACTCCATTTGTTTTCTCTATTACAGTAGTCCACCATACTGAGAAGAAAAGATTTTAAGGATATTTTAGTGCAGCTGCTGAATGCAGGATTGAGTTCCATATTGAAGCAACTTTCAGTCCCTACCACAATCACATAGATTCTGCCCAACAACTCTACCAGCCCAGCAACCCAAGACACTGCAACACTTTCTGAAGACCAAGCCCTGTATGCAATCTGCAAAGCAGGAACGTCAGTTGGAAGTCACTGCAGGTCTCCTACACCAGAGCTGGTTGCAGTTGGCCAGTTTGGAGGGACGGCAGAAAAGCCCAGGCCTCTCTGCATCCCAAAGCCAACACACACTCACGCGCTCCCATCACTGTCAGTCTGATGTGAAACACCAACCCCAGGAAAGCCAGCAGGACTTTGATCATCCACTTCAATGTCAATAGGATTTCTATCCTATGGCTCCACTCCTGGTGCTGTGAGTGACCTTAAAATGTTGTTTAGCCCATCTGTGCTTAAGTATGTTCTCCCTGAGGTGTGTCTCATGCTTCTGACTTGTGCATCAAGAGAAAACTCTGCCCGTGAGCACATGTTCCTGAGCACTCCACACAAGTCCCAGCCAGGACCCTGCAGCACCAGCACAGCAGGTAGGTGAGCACAGGGTCTGCAGGAGGAACCACGCAAGGCAGCATCTTCACATGCAACAGTTTCTCAATAAAACCTGGGAAACAGTAACTCTGTCCCTACCTTTTCTACTTGCAATGCAGTCTCCTCACATGACAGCTTAATCAGTTCTTGGGCCTTACTGGTGTCTCCCACTTTGTAAGCAGCCTGAATGTTCTCTGTCACAGGTGTCTGAACTATGGAGACTTCGCCGACCGTGGACTGCTTGCCACCCATGTCCACAGATCCTGCAGGGAGAGAGGAAAAGAGGGCTCAGGAAGAAGTACCTAATTACTACTCATGCATAGCTGGAATACCAATGCAACCTGTCAAAACCAACCACCACCAACAAAAAAAGAAACCCACAAAACACAAGAAAAACACAAAAAAACAAGGGGCAGATTATTTTCAGTGGAATCTTTACTGCGTGTATTTCATAAGGTGATGGAGAGAAAAACCTCAACCCCTAAATTCTCTGAGGAGAGAATGTTAAAGGATGTTGAAGTACTTTCCAACAGAGACATGAAACTAAAAGGGCCAAGGACTTCCTCAACGGTTCCCAGAGGTGGTTTCCAGCGGAAGGTGTGAGAGCTCTCCCAGACACGTACGTGCTGCTGCAGCCCTCGGCTCCCGCTGCCGGAACGCGGGAAGGGAAGTACTTGCACACGCAGGCACCGCGCTCCTCCTGAAGCAGCAGGGAGCCTGCAGGACTGCAAAGCCATTCTGGCATCATTAGCTTTGCGTCAGACACTCTTTATTGATTGCACGCTAAGAGCCTGCTAAAGCCCCTTCTCTATGCTACTTCTCTAGCATTTGCAACTAGAGCTTTGTACACCTTAATGAATGTGAAAAAGGAGAGAATTATTATGCTCTATTTTCTAGATGGGAGATTATGCAAGATGCCCAGTGTTGCCAAATTCAATCCTGAATAATATCCCAGGCTAGATTTTTTGAAGATGCTGTTAGCAGCCACACAAGCCTTTACATTTTGAAGGAACTGTGTGTCTCCAGAAATCCCCGCTCTTGTGTTTCAACCACAGCACTGCTGGGTGGGTGCTGGGTCCATTCCCAGCCAGCCCAAATGCTCTCCCTGTGTTTTCCCAGCCTCTGCCAAACACTGAGGTTACGGCCTCGCCGAGATCGCGATGCTCCGTCCTCGGCATCGTCCAGCACTCATCACTGCAAGGCGGGGAGCAAGGATCTGTGCTGCCTCCATTGAGAAGCACAAAAAACAACAACACACAAGACAAATCCAAAACCAGAAGCACTCTTCACTTCAAAAGAGACCACTTCATACTCACTTTTTCCTACTAAAAGAATATTAATTATTACTGCTTATCTGCAATTGGTTAAAGAAAACCCATAAAGTCCACAGGTTTTCACATGAGTTAACAAGAACTTTTAAAATAGATACATATGTCGTGCAAGGCTGAGTTTCCTGCAGCCTGGAAAAAAGAAGTACATTTGGACCGATCTATAACTGTCAGTAAGTATCTGTGAATAATGCAGTCTGAATCACCAGGACCTTCTGACTAACACTTCTCATCAATTATTTAAATGAAGCTCAAATCACTCAGACACTGAAGATGGCTCCAGAGATTCGTGCCATTAAAGACGTGCAGGCATCAATAACCTTTCTCGGATGACATGGAACGTGTGAAGGACGAAGCAGGAATCAAGACACATGAATGTGATGTTGTATTTTAGCAAGTTACCAGGATTTTGTAACTCACGCAATAGGTGCCACGCTCCTGCTGCGTTAGATTTTCCTCCCAATTCTCTAGTCTTCAGGAGCACATAACAGAAAACTCAGCCAGTGTGTGTTCAAGGCCTCTACAGGAGGCCACCCACCTGTAATGGACCTCTCTGAATGCTGTGTATGCTTTAATTGCTTTCGTGGAGATTAAAGGAAGGAAATGCAAATTATTCCAAAGCAGCTAACTGCTAAAAAGGAGAGAATTTTGAAGCAAAATGATTCTTTGATCTTACAATTCAGCAGAGGGCTAAACACAAGTATAGATGAAGGAAGACGTTCCAGTACCTGGAGCGGGCGGCCACTCTGCTCAGGGCCCTGTGATGAAACCCTGGACCCAGAGAGCAGCATTGGAATTTCCCTAGGAGGATAAAATGCCTCACCCTGGAGATCCAGCACAGCTGGAGGGCCAAGCAGGAAGCCCTTCGAACCAGGGCACAGCAGCTTTAAGCTAGTCACTAATGCACAGAGTAGGGACACGTTTTACATCCTTCCAGACTCAACTCCTGATTTGGGAACCATCTCTCAGGATCCACACCTGGAGCCCCATCCAAGTGTATCCTTTCTGCCAAGCGCTGGGTTATCGTTCATTCTTTTTGAACCAAAGATACGAGCAGATACGAGCACCCTGGGTCAGAGGCTTGCGGGGGATCTGTGAGATCCCAAGGTCTCTCCCTCTTTGGCCAGAGAGGTCTCCAAGCAGCCCCTTGCGCTTCCTGCACACCAGGCCACTCTGTACGGGGCATCTTCCATCTCTTCTCCTGAAACTGCCCCACCAGGGACAACCAAACCAGGCCCAGAAGCAAAAGGACCATGACAATTTAACGGAGGGGAGGAGGAACTCTAATCCTGAGACAGCTCCTGTGTTTTACTCAAGGACTGTTCATGAAATAGCCTGGCTAATGTGTCCTGCTTCCTCTTCCATGCTGCTTTTGGCCTCTCCAAAAGTGTTGTATCCTCTCTGCTGTAACGGTGGAATTACCAGCACTGTTTGTAAATCACCCATTGGACTCAGTTCCCATGCATTCGGTACAGACTTCCGTGCTCTCCAGGACCTGGATGCCCACAACATGTAGGTTTCATGGAGCTAACATGGGACTGGGATCATAGCTGGAGGTTTAGCCAAGGTTTTCAGGACCTTAATTTTGGTCCCTAAACTCCATTTTACTCTCAAATATGCAAGAATTTTTTTATTGACCTGACCTGAACTGATAAGTTAGGCTATGTTTGAACATCCATCAAGTAAAAGTCAATAAAGGCTTCATTGAATCTAAGCAATTTGGGCAACTCTGGTGCTTGAAATTGATGTATTTGTATTTAAACATCCTCGGCAGAAAAATAATGCTGCTCATCATTCAAATTCATTATGTAACTGCCATCAAGATTTCATTCTGTGACTGTACTCTGCAGAGCACATCCACCTCTTGCCTAAGATGATCTGGGGGGAAAAAATGCTAAAGCTCCTCAGTAGCTAAAGACCTTGCAAGGCAACTAATTTACAAGCCAAAAAAGAGTAAAACTGATGACTCATGAAGTAATAAAAAGCTACCCTTAACCAACAGCTGCACCCATGTGGTCCTGTCAAAGCCAGCTTGAGTTTTCAAAGGCTAAGTGAGAGTGGAAAACAGGCCACCCATTGCTCCGTTCCCAAAAAACACAGAAGCCATGGATGCAAAGCTAAACACGTGGGGAACTGAATTACCCCATTCACAGAAGACTTTCTGGCGACTTAAGAAATGATATATCATCTTCTGACTTAAAAATGAAAAATACCAAGCGGATATATTTTGTAAATTTAACTTATACTCGCCATAAGGCAAAGGAAAAAAATAGAGAAAAATTACACTGTATTGGTTAAAGACCATTCATCAGTACGGGCATTCACGCAGGCTGGGATATATGCCTAAGCTGATTTTAGCAGAAATCTGGGCTAAAATCCAAAAGGATTCTGCCTGTGGCTTTAATTTACATGCTTCATACTCTACCTGAAAACTTCATGGCTTTCAGCTCAGGGTCACCTCAGATACATACAGCCTTAAATAACATAGTATGAAATCAATACCTTAAATAACAGCAAACCTCAATTTCTGGACTTGATCATTCAACGCTGAGCCCCTAAGTCTGGATGTAACAAAGTGGTTTGAATTTTTGGATTGCAGAAATCTTGGCTTCTGCCCTTCACTCAATAAAGTTTATGTTAACACAGGACAACATACAGAGCATAGCCAGTTATGACATGTTAGCAGTATTCCTTGGGTATTCCTGTAAGAAAAGACTACGTGGAACTCCAGAAGCCTTCGCAGCCCCGTTGTGATTTCCTTTGGTTTTTGCTTTACGGCATAGGTGAGGGTCAGCCTCCCTGCAGGGCCTCCAAAAGCACTGCCCCAAATCAGCCCCTCTTCACTTGTGGGGTGGCAGAGGAAAGCAGATAAACCAAGTCCACCTGAACTGAGATGGGATGGGCTGGGGTCATTTCTCTCGCACTGAATTCACACCCTTACTCTGAATTCCAAAGAAAACAAGGCCACAGGACTTGCTCCTTACTGCTCTACCCTATTTCTGCAGCTTCTTTGTTTAATTTCTCTGTAGGCCTACTGCACTTTTTCTTTGCTTGGTATTCTGCAATCTCTTCTTTCTGCTAATGACCATAACCAAACCAAATGCCTGTTGTTTTTCCTTCCTCAAAAACTGGCACTTGTTAACATTAAAAACACACTCTTCTACTATTCCTTACACCACTTAACAGCTTGCATTAAAGAACCTCTCCTCGGAACCTCTCCTCCTGATTTCAAAGTCCAATGCGGTAGCTTTTACAAAAGCTAAAACCAAGACTAATTTTCTTTTTAAAAGAAATTCTATTTGTAACAGTGGCTATTAATTAAAAAAGCAATATTATATTACTGCCATTCAACAATTACAGCAATATGAATCTAGCAGCAAAATGGATTGTGCTGCCTTAGTTGAAAAAAAACAAAACAAAAATAGATCTCTTATAATAACGGATACGATGTGGGCACCAGGGCTAAGTGCACGTACACCCATTCACAGGCCCTGTAATAGGGCTGGCGAGAAACTGTTTAAAATCTAAAATTTCTAAATCGACTGTATCCCTTCAAGAGTAAGAAGTGAGGGTTTGCAGGCAAAAGCTGTGAATCAGACTACAGCACACAGCAGCATAACAAAACAACACATTATAGGGATGATTATCATCTTTACACCCCAAATCATTGCATTCTTTGACATATAACCTCAGAGTTTTTAAAGTGCTTTATTAAGTCTCTTTGATACGGTAGAAGTTATTTGATAACTATCTACAATACTAGAGCATTCTTATTTATCACAAAAAATACAAATGAGATGTTTAATTCAGGACAAGATAGGCTGGAAAGCTAGCCTACTTCCAAGCAGAATTCTACTTCCAAGCAGAATTACAGTATTAACGCAACTTTAAAACTGCTACTGACCTTGTCATCGCTTGTGCAGGTATTTCCAGAG